AGAATTATGAGGGCGCTAATTCTCTGCGCGTTCTGACCCCCACCTGTCTCGGCACATTCTGAACAGTGCTCACTAGATGTTTCTCTCCCCGGCAGGGCTCCCGGTTCTGCTGACAAGCGGGAGGGGGCGCACAACTCAGGGTTAACGCCCCCCCACCTCAAAAAAAAACAACCAGTGGAGTGGGACCCTCCAAGCTCTGGCTGCTACAGAGCTGCTCCTCAGCCTACTCCCAGGGAGCAGGTGGCCATGAGACAGGAAAAGCCTGCAGCGGGAAGGGCCTGGTTCCTCAGAGCCCCCGCCCCGCCCCCAAGCAGAGGCAATGAAAGGGGAGACAGAGAGGGCGCCCAAGAGGCACAGGGGGCAGATGGTGGAGAGGAGGGGGAGTCAGTGTGGGGGTGGTGAGTGAGCAGCAGGAGGGGGAGAGGGGGGACCATACCAGGCCCAGTCTGACACCCACAGCAGTCAGCTCCAGGTATCACCAGGGACGTCCCGTGACAGCTCTGCAGACCAGCTGGCCCCCAGTCACCTTACCACCCCCCACCTCCATTCCGGGGTCCCCTCACCCCAAGCCCAGAAGGCAAAGCAGGTGTACTTACCCCAGGTGCCAGTCCCTCCGGGGGGATGGGGGAGATTCTGTCCCCGCTGCCCTGGCTGCGGGCGCTGAGCTGGGGCGACATGGTGGGCGACTCGTCGATGTACGGCATGGTCTCCGAGCCCTCCGGGGGCCCCTTCTGCTCCTCATTCCCCTCTCCGTCGTAGTCCTCCGCCCCGTAGCTGAAGTCTGAGACGAGGAACAGGAAGGGCCACTGAGAATCCTCCACCAGGGCTGCCAGGGACTGGTAGCGCAGTGGGCGCCGGCGGCGGCCCCCGGCTGCCATGGCCCCGGCCACACCATGCACGGCCCAGGCGGCGCTATGCGGGGGCTCGGGCCGCCGGGGCTGCAGCCGGGAGCCGGGGAGGCACGCGCTGCTGCTGCTGCTGCGGCCGCCGCCACCAGCGGAATCGCACGTCAGCCGCGCGGCTCCCGAGCGCAGCCTCCTTCGCCTCCTGCCTAATTCCAAGTCTAAAAATTAACAGTGGGAACGGGAGCAGGACGCATCCAACTCTCCCCTCTGAGTCACCATTTTGCTTTTTATAGGGAATAAGGAGGTGGGGGCGGGCCAAGCGATGTCACTTCCTGAGCCCCTCCTCCTGGGGTACCAATTGTACACAGAGCCCAAGCCCTGCAGAGGGGCTGGAGCAGGTTTGGGGGGGTGGGGTGGAGAGACGGCACCCAGGGGAGCCCAAAGCCCTCTGAACAAGGCCCACTGCGGTCTGTGCGAGGCTGGCAGCGCGTGGGCGGAGGCCCGCCGAGACCTGGCGGGGACCGCTAGAATGGGCGTCCTCAGAAGCAGCGCTCACTTATATCATTTCAATGCAGGCTTCCTTCGGAGAAGGAGGGGAGAGAAGGCGACGGGAGACGAGAGCCCCCGAAAACCCCGCTCGCTTCCAGAGCCCACGCACATACATGCCCTCCTGGGGCTGCAGGCTGGGTCGGCCCTAACACAGAAGAGAGCCCCTCAGCCCTGACAGGCCCTGGAGCAGGCGCCGGACAGTGAGGGGCTCTCCCACCCCTGCCCAGACCACCGGATTGTGCTGTGTCTAAGGGGCTGGAGGTACCTATGGTGCCTGCTTATCCCTGAGCAAGGTCCAGGCTGACACCAGCACCATATGCCCCCAGTGGGAGCCAGGCATCAGATGGCAACTGGAGCGCCACCTGCCCCAGGCTCAGCCCACAGGGCCCATAGCAGCCCCGTGAGGGCAGTGGGGGTTCTCATGCCCCTGCCTGCCCAGTGGCCACATCCTTTTGTGAGCACCTTCCTCTGGACACCAGGCCCTGGGCCTGGCATACCTCTCCCTCCGGCAGTCCTCTCTCACCCAGACAGAGGCTCAGGGCCCTGGCTGCCTATTCACTGGCCCCTTGCTGACCTGTCCCTTTGTTCTTGAGCCCCCGGGACTGATGTGGGGGAGGGGAGTTCATTGTTCATCTCACAGTGTGCCTAACACCCATGGGCTGCCTGGGCATGCTCTCCTCTCCAGAAGTGGTCGAGGGAGTGGAGGGATGTGGGGCCAGGGCCAGCTCTGAGACAGCCAAGTTCTCCACGAGGACCCGGTCCTTCCTCCCAGGCACAGCCAGCCCCCGGGCAGCCAGCAGCAGAGAATGGTGTCAGCAGGTCACCAGGGTGGCCGGCCATGGCCAAGGCCACGTTCAGGCCCATCTGGCTCTTTGGCAGCTGAGGGCCTACTCCAGTGTCAAGCGGCACCTGCTCGGGCTGACCGACCTCCTTCCCAGGCCCTGCCCCGATGCCCCTGCCCCGATAAACTGTCAGGGGACGTGGACACTTCTTCCCCTCAGAGCCTGCATGCACAGAAGAGCCACAGGGCCTGGACACCCCTCACCACCACCCCACCCCTCACCCATGCACTCTGGACACAGGGCCACTGCATGGGACCCACCAGGCTGTGACGGGGACTGGACCGTTTCTGACATTCTGAGCAGCGGAGAGGCCCTGCTGCTCACTGGCCTGCCCCACTCCAAAAGGAGTCTGGATGGGGCCGACAGCTTGCACTCAGATGTTAGCCCAAGGGTTGAGGGTCTAGGCCCACCCTGTGCTGCCACCAAAGACATGCCCGGCCATCTCTGCCCACCAAGGTGGCTGGCTCCCAACTGCCCTATTGACAACTGAGGTCTATTGACAAGAAGAAGGTATGGTGGACCCTGGCCAACAGTTCCCAGTCCAGCAGGCCACCTGGGTCTCTCAAACATTGACCAAGCCCCAGAAATCACAGACCCAGAACACAGCCCGGAATCACAGCCCAAGGGCCTGGCTGGAGGGGACAGAGAGGTGTGGCTAACCTCCCTGCACAACTCCATGGGGGGGTGGGGGGGCAGCCGCTCTCTCTCCACACCTTCCTGGGCAAGTGCACGCTCCCTCTTTACCCCCAAACAGACCACCTACATCCCTAAGAGGCACTTCTTATTAGTATCCCCGTTTTCCAGACCAGGTCTGAGTCTCACAACATGTGCCTAAGCTCACGGAAGGACTGGAACCCAGGTCTGTCCGTCTGTCTCCGAAAGCCTTCCTTCCCTGTCTGAGTCTCCCTAGCCCTCCAGAGAAGTCGCCTTCTACAGCAGAGGCTGATCAGGGCGGTGGGGGTGGGTGGGGGGAAAGGGTGCCTGAGGGGGGAGGAGCCGGTCACAGGAGGAGAGGTCCAGCTGCCAGGGTAAGTGTCCACCACAGGGTTGTCTGCAAAAGCTCCTGAACCCTGTGGTGGGCACTCTCCCCATCCCCCGGCCTCCCTAACACTCTGAAAGCCAAGGAAGACAGTGAGAGGCCCAGGATCCCTGCGAGGAAAGGGGGCAAGATGAGAAGCCCACCCAGAGCAAGAAGGAATCTGGGGGAGGCAGGAGGATGGGAAAGCACCAGGCAAACCCTTCAGCCCACAAAAGACCAATGGGCAGACTGTGGCTTGGCCACCAGGTCTCCATAGAGAGCACACAGGAGGCTGTTGGCAGGCGATGTCCACTGCCCCATCTCGTCACAGAAATCCCATTCTCTCAGCGTGGCAGTATGCCCAGGGTCCAGCTGTGAGACTGCATTTCCCAGTGTGTGGCGTGGGTCATGTAGATGCTTAGTGCATATGTGTGGAACTTCGTGGAAAGCTTTTCAAAGCGCAGGACTTAGCTGGAAGCGATGCTCCCTCCCCCGCTCCCACACTGCCTCTCCCCACTGCGGTCTGCACTCAGGGAGATGGCTCAAGTGCCAGAGTGTCACTGAGCCCCCAGGTGAGCTAGAGGGGACAGGGGAGGTGAGCGAGAGGACAGAGGGGAGGTGAGCGTGAGGACAGAAGGGGAGGTGAGCGTGAGGACAGAAGGGGAGGTGAGCGTGAGGACAGAGGGGAGGTGAGCGTGAGGACAGAAGGGGAGGTGAGCGTGAGGACAGAGGGGAGGTGAGCGTGAGGACAGAGGGGAGGTGAGCGTGAGGGCAGAGGGGAGGTGAGTGTGAGGACAGAGGGGAGGTGAGTGTGAGGGCAGAGGGGAGGGGAGTGTGAGGACAGAGGGGAGGTGAGGGTGAGGATAGAAGGGGAGGTGAGGGTGAGGACAGAAGGGGAGGTGAGTGTGGGGACAGAAGGGGAGGTCCCTGCATTTCTGATGAAATTGTGGAGCCACCGAACCATCCCCAGGACTGCCCACCATCTTTCACAGGTGTGCGT